ATGCTGAAATCACATGGAATGGTTCTTGTTCCGTTCATTCTTTTATTAATTTCAACAAATATGGTAGCCCAAAAATCTGTTGTGTTTGGGTTCATTGATCATGATCAAGTTTCAAAAAGACCTGATCCTCTGCACCAGTTCAAGTTATATAACGGAACTTATAATCTTGGCAACAAGCACTATTGGGCTGTAAGTTTTATTTTTAATGAAATAAAAAAGTTACTAGTACATATTTCTTATATCTAACAAGGGAAGCTGCTGATATGTGTATTTGTTTTTGTTTTTTTCCTGAAATTTATAGTCTGCGGCTTTCACAGGCATTCATGGCTATGCAATTGCTGGGATTTGGTTGTTATTTGGATTGGGATTTGGGAGTTATATGATATATAAGTATTTTCATGGCAACTCAGCAACTCCAATTGTTGACTATCCACCTTCTTCCTACATTTTGATGTTCTTGCTCGTTGTTCTGTTTACCATTCTTGCCATGTAAGCTGCTTATTTCTTAGTTTTTGGATTTCAACTATCAAATATGTTGGAGAACTATTTTTGAACTGATTATTTGCTTTTTTACAATTTTAGAAAGAATAAAATAACTATTAAAATAAGACTAACCGTTAAAACAAATATATTTTTTTAGTATTTTTCAAATATTAAAAATGACTACAAAACCTTAATGAAACTATTTTTTGTTATTTTTTTTTTTGTGAGAAAAAGTAAAAGGGTCAAAACTAATTAAAATAGCGATATTAGGCCTAAACTAAATATTTTACGCTAAAATGGGTGAAATCTCGGGGAGGGTCAAAAATCACATGTCCCTTTGGTTTTCTTAATGTCGTGGTTCTTTCCAAAGGTGGAGTTTGTGTGAACCGGGTGGCTCTTCCTGATGATGGATGGCACGATAACCTTCTTAAGGGTTTGAGTATGTTTTCTTTTTGTTTGTGTAAATGTAGCTAGTGAGTAATAGTGCCTCAAGTAAAGCTTCACTTGGGCCTAACACATTTGCCTTTGACCTTATGGTTAAAAACAAATTGGTGTGTATAGGATGGTGACGAGTTGTGACCTTGAGACTCTTGCGTTGGCTAATATCATCAAGTGA